CACTCACTGTGGCATAGTCTCAGACGTTCCAAACACCACTGAAAAGATTCAGGCGCTGGGCTGGGGAAGGTATGTTGGTGGTCTGCCTGGGTAATGACTTTGATATTTTACCAGCTTTTCCTACTCTGCTTTCAGAAGCCCAAACCCATCTTCTTGGCGGAGTCACGTCGACCACATAGACCCCTTCCCGGCTTTGTATTACCAGGTCTGGTTTGAGTCTAACCACTTCGGCAACTGAGTAAGTGACTTCCGTGTGCACCATCGTGTCCGATTTCCGGAGCCTCTTGCCCTCTAAGCAGCTCTTTACCTCGTCATTTCACCTTATTCTTGCTGGCTTACTAAATATGCATTGACCCAGAATGTGGTTGACGGTTTCTAACGCTGTATTGTATTTCCTCCAACATACACTATGTGATGAAACGTATCCGGACACCTCTACAATTATGGTGTGGTTGTCTTGTCATGGTGGGGGCTTACACCCTTTGTTGTTTTGTGTGGCACTATCGCGGAACTGGCCCATGTTGATGTTTTAAACACCTTCTTTCTTCTCACTGTTGAAGAGCAATTCGAGGACACGACAATAACATCCCTATAATAAACTGACTTGTAAAGAGTCTTGACGTGAATCCTGTGGAACATCTTTGGATGGTTTGCAACGCTGACTTCGTGACAGGCCTCACCGACCTACATCGATACCTGTCCTCAGTGCAGCACTCCGTGAATAATGAGCTGCCATTCCCCAAGAAACCTTCCAACCCCTGATTGAAAGTATGCCTGCGAGAGTACAAGCTGTCATCAAGGCTAAGGGAGGGCCACCATCCTATTCTAGCATTACCGATGGAGGGCGCCACGAACTGGTAAGTCATTCTCAGCGACGTTTCCGGATACTTTTGATCACAGTACCCACTCGGGGCCTTCTCGTACTATGAGTAGATTTATTGGCAACAGTATTCGTTGTCAATTATAATGTCGACACAAAATGTTCAGGTTTCTGAAGTCTTTCAAAAAGGCGTTTCCGATTGGATCGCTTACTGCACCTTAACCGCTCTTCCTTGAGGTCCCAGCTTCTCCCAGGAGGTTACCTCGCCATCGCCGCATCTCTTCTTATAAGACCTTCTATCTTGTTCCAAAGAGGGCCAGTTGAGCCTCAGTGCTTTGGTGGTCTTAAATGTCCAATGGCAGAAAGTCGGAGCGGAGAACAGCCATATGCAAATTGGATTTGCAGATTTTTCTAATCGTAAACCAAGGCTCAGTGCTACCCTAGGAACGTTTTGGGCAAAAGCCGCAGCTATCTCAGTCCTCCATCGCTCTTTGCCAGGTAGAATATGCCCTCGGCAGAAGTAGGGACTCTTTGACTGCCGCCCTGATTTGACCGTCCGAATTCCTGTACATCGACATAGACATCGATAAAAACAGTTGGTGAAGATAGTGTGGCATTATATAGGGATGAAGTAATGTCTTGAGATACGCTTTCTGAAACCTCGTCACCGTTTCCACTAAACTCGATGGGTGCGTTAGACGGTAACCAAATTCCTTCCAAATAGCGTAGTTAACTTCCAGGTATGTTATGATCATTAATGGCGACAGGAATTCTTTCCCAACCTTTCCAGACGGGGATCCTCAACAAAGCAGGATCGTTCAAAAGTGTTGAGCTCATCCCTTACGCACACGCACTCCACTACTACATACACCAGAAGACCTACACACACCGGGGCCTTAGCAGCACGGGATTGTCAACAAATGCTAACAACACTTCTTTCCAATAGCGGATATCGTGACTTCTTTTCCAAATATTCAGACTGTATATGTATGAATGTACTTTGGCACAATAGCCTCTGATGAAGCGTAGGACTACCAGCGGTGTCCCGGCCTGGCGGCCAATGGGGTTCGTGCGGTTAGCACATAGACATCTTGAAGCCACATTCGGTACTTCTCAACCTGAGAGGTGAGTTTTATCATCGTGACACAGCAACATATTCTGGGACACAACTGGGATGCAAGGGAAAGTAATCTTGCCCGACCGGGAATCGAACTCGAGGCCGCGTCATGGAAAGCGAGCACGCTGACCGTTGAGGGCCCGTGAGGGCAGGCTGTACATAGTGAGATTAAAAAAGGAGAGGGGATGAAGATCTCACCTCAATGCCTTTCGAGAGGCGCTGAATGACAGAGGGGACTTCTCGTAAGAATCTAGTATCGGTTTGGGAATATCGTCGAGAATCCTTTTCTAAGAGTGAGCCCACCTAATCGCCGCGTAAGGAACTGTGTTCAATGCTTTAGATATATTCCCCAGCACCGACACCCCCTCCGCCATGCCACAAACTGCTTCGTGAAGAATTACATTAGCGAAACAGCCAAGTTCAGAGATAGACCCTTTTGGCTGGATTGAATGTCACCACGGATCGAATGCGTTTGTCCATAATGCCCTTTAAGAATCTGCACAGCAAAGAACCAATCGTGATGGGCGATAGTTAGTTGCAAACTTGTTATCCTTACTCTCTTTCCGGATAAGGATGGTGCGATTAGCTTTTCACCCAGAGGACACAAAGCCACTGTATAGATTTTTTGTATACAGTAGGGACACGTGTTAGAGGAAGTAATTTACTGTATATAGGCCTAGAATTGATATTTATCCATTTCTAGCTACTAGTACCGAGACAGGTGTCTCAGGGTGTAAACAGATGACACCGCAGTGCCTCTGATCGGGAGGTTATAGGTCCGACTCCCCACGGTGACAGGATTTTCGACACTAGCTAATAGCTAGGTCGATTTCAGTCGTTGTCTGGTTGACAATTCCAGCGGTCGGCTGCTGTGATCGGTAGTTTTACGTAGTTTCTCTCATCAATACCCGACGAATACCGGAGCAGTACTCTGACAAACCGCGGGCGATATTTCCTTCATCTTTCCCGCCTTATCCTCATCCTTTTACGTACACGCACTCCACAACTACATACACCAGAAGACCTACATACACCGGGGCCTTAGAGCTTCTACCGGCCGGGGCGGTGCCCTGCTGATGGGAGATACCTGGTTGGGGAAAAGCCTGCTAGCCGAAGGGAAGGTCGGCGTGGGATGTCGCCATCCATCGGGGGAAGACCACCAGCACGTCACGAGGAAGAAACATACACCACACTTACGGGACTAGTATTAACTTTTGGGCCTCCCGCAATCACTAATTGATCGACCGATCGATACCAGTACACAATAATTCGAGATTTTCTGTACGTCTAAAATGTTGTGTACAATAGACTACATACGCGAATACACAGCAAAAAATGCACTTTATGGTATCAGGAACGCACGAAAGGAGTTTTCCTAATGAAAATGGCCGCTTCTCTATTGAAGTGCAACAACAAGATGCTCTCGCATTATTTGTAATGGTTACGAAACATTATTACACTACCTCAACCACTTAACTTTTAAGGACCAGAATTGAATTTGTAGATTTATATTGCTTCCAATTTAATTTTTAAAAACATATTGAAAGAAACCATAGCGTGAACGATCACAAATTGTGTACCCAGAGGAGGGATATCGTTTTTTTACTGTAATGAAAATTGATCTGATGTCCAAAAAACAATAAACCTTTATCGATAATGATACCGACATTATTATTAAACGACAGATTCGCTTTTATAATAAGAGAAAACTGAATTTTTTAGTGTTATTTTTAATGTTTTGAAGTTTGGGCGGATGGAAATGGAAAGCATACTTACAAAAATAGTATATAATGCGTAGCGTAATAATAGTATATATATTGAGTTTTACTCAACGTCATTCGAATATTTTTACTTTCTCGCATTTTAAAAATTGTAAACGCACAGTTTTTGGTCTCTAACGCACTGTATATTCCCGCTGGAACTACCGGATCACAGAAAAGTTCGACACTCGGTGTCCTTTTTCGAGCCCCTACGTTTCGCAGCGTTGATCTTTTTTGAAGATCCGTTTAATAAAATCATTTATACCATATATTGTAATATAGGAAATACAGACAAAAATGTAGACAACGGCCTGAAGTTTTCCGTTTGCCGACTACGCTTCCATAAATTACAAGTAATGCTGGAAAATATTTATATCGCAATGCGCACCCACGAAGCGTTGTTTCGCGAGAAGCACCTATTTTTCCGACATTTGAAATATTAAAAACGCTAGGGAATTTGTAATGGATATCATTTAATTAATCATACTTAAGAATGTAAATGTGAGAAGTCGAACGTAAGAACGTAAATGTGCTTCAATAGCATTTCTCACAGTTTGGTTTTCTTCATATTCACCTGAAGTTCAAGTTCAATAAATTTAAGTAATGCTGTTCGTAGGTTTTTGTAAATGTATTTTTAAAAATACTTTCATACGGATGCAAATTAAATGAAATCTGCAGCGCCGCGACTTACTTGTCGCATTCGACGTAAGCTACATAGATCTATTCGGGTGGCGTTGATTTAATTCCCGGCATACTTACTAAGATGGCAGCGTTAAAACACGGAAAAAACACGTTTTTGGAAATGTCGGGCTGGATCCAAAAACAAATTATCAGTTCCCCTCCAGGAGACCGAGACGCATCGAATGACACCTCATTCATTTCGGTAGGTGCACGGGAAGTGTTCGAACCGTGAGTGACAGGTCCGCACATATGCACTCTCTGACACAGTTACTCGAATACTGTGTAGGGATATATTTCTCAAAATACAGAAAAAGTAAACCTTTTATAATATAAATTTGAAGATCCGCGAAATGAAATATCTAAATATTTTTTTAATTGTCCTAATATTGGGGAGGGGGCAGTTCTCCCCCCTCCCTGCATGACGCCTCCGATGGTACCTATTAATTCACGTATGTCTCAGACAGGTTTATATTCTTGGACTTGGATATATAACATTATATTTTAGGGCTCAAAATCTAAATCACCTTTATTTCCATCCATTACATTACATTTTTAATATAGTAGTAAAATGTATGTATTCAAATAACTCTTTAGGTCTTACACATCGAAGCAAAACAGAAAAGTTAACAAGAAATAATTAATGAACGTCTTTGAAGACTTGTTTTAGTATTAGCAAAATTAAAAATTACTCAAGAAAAAGAAAAATGTAGTTTGAAAAATATTTCATTGTTGAATTTTAAAATGCTCTTCCAATGCCTTTCGCAACAACTGAAGTTGTTTCATTTTGATGCGTGCCAGTTTTGTACTAATCAGTGCTTCTATTCCTTCTTCTCCCTTTTGATGGTATGTTGCCTTCAGCAGCATGTAGTCAACGCCGGACTCGGCCAAGAACTTGCGAAGTGCATAGAAACGCCCCTTTTCCACTTGTGTCTTCCCGACGAACACGGGTTTGAGCGAGTACATGCGAATCTGCACTTTGACGCGCTCGATTTCGTTTGTAACTGGCTGCATGTACATTCCCATGCTTGCAAGTGTGCGGACGTAGTATAGTTCATCGTTTTGCATGACATCATACTCTTTTCCTCCAAACAGGCGGCCCATGAGCTGGAAAATATACTCTAATCAGACACGGGAAAAATAATACATAATTATAAACGAGTTTCATAAAAATAATCTCCAAGTCACCTGAAATGTTACGATTGATCTGGTACAGGCAGCAATAGGTTCTGTCTCGAGGTCCAAAACAACTCGAGATAAAGAAGTCATTGTGTAGGAAACGAATGTCTCCTTGAACGCAGTCTTCACTGCATCTTGCAGAACAACAAAACCTTTGACGGAGTATGAAAACTTTTCTGTCAATTTGTATTTTTCTAAAGCCTGCAGAAGTAGGGGTATTGCAGCTCTTCGCCTGTCAAATGTGAATAAAATAACACCATCTGTTCCTTTCTCTGCTCCGCGTAACCACCGAACAAAGTGGCGAAGGGTGTTCTTCATCGACCGTGTGGAGACAGTCTGAAAAAGACACATATGTACAATATTTTCGGTACTAGTCGTTTTTATGGTCTCATCATTTGTAGATTCAATGCAGGTTCAAACCTTGTGATTACTTGAATCCACCAGTTTGCGGGAACGCTTCTTTTCAACTATTTCCAGCCCAAATTTCTTTGCCACTGAAGGATGAAGATCATGTTGGGGCATAACATACTGAGTAAAATACGCAACTGGGCTGAAAACAGAGAGCAACATTATTTCACTCTCCCGTTTCCATCCCGTTGTGTCAACCTCCAGAGCAAGCAGTTGCATCCTTCCCTAAAAAATAAAGAAAAGTTTGTAGTGATTATATTCGGAAATAAAAAAGAAGAAAACATGTATTTTCGATATCATCGTGCATTACAATTAACATAAAAAATAGTTACCTTAATTCTGGATGTAGCGATAAGAGAAGTGGACACCATCGGTTTCAGCAGTGAAGACATCGCGAAGTAGTGAGTGAAGGATTGGCTGTGAACCAATGGCCTCTCGACTGCGCAAAGTTCTTCGACGTCGTCCAATCCAGGCAGAGGGTGGGCGCGCCCCGCGCAGTCGCCGTCGCCGCTGGAGACCGTCTGCGCGCCCAGCAGCCGCGCGCTCGCCTTTGGTCTGAGTCCAAGCGATGTAGTGCAGCCCGCGCTCGCCCACGGCGACACTGTCGCGCGCAGCCCCATCCCCGTTGAGGGCGGTCGGCGAAGGAGCCAATCAGGGGCGGCGTGACACGCATACGCCACTATCTAACCAATGGTAATCGCGGTTAATTTCTGCTTTTTCAGCAGACGCGGAACAAAAATTGACCTTTTGCCAATGTCCGGCCTACAGTAAAATTAGTACAAAATAATAACTCTTAACGATCTTAACGATTAAACAACCCTTGACCTTAAAAAAACTGCGCAATTTTCTATCAGCAAGCACAACGAGAAAGTATTTCTTACTACATACGCCAAAATCGTTGTGTACAAGTGGCAGAACCGTCAAGGAAAAATTTGCGTACGTAGCTATCTGATTCCTTAAGTGAGACTTCCGCGACAAAACGGTTTTGGGTTTCTCGTAAAAACGCAGTTTGCTAGGTAATAGGAGACGCAATTCACCTCTGGATGAGTCATTTAATGCCGTAGCCCGACAACGCGGCGCCCTGGAAGTCGCGACAGCGGAAGCGAGGCTGCGCCAGCCCAGAAGCGGAGATCTCCAATTGCAACGAACTTTCCCTAACCGAACAAGCAAAGTCACGAAGTTTCTAGTGGTGCTACGACAGCTCTTAATTTTTCATTATTTTAAGTTTCCGTAATATTATAATACTACTTGAACCCTCGAAGGACTTTTAAACCCCTTAAATGTTTGCCTATGCTCAGGTTCAACTTCTGTACTTTGGTTAAGCATGCAACAAGGCCTATCCACTGTTTCAAAATTCACAGCTACCACTATAGTTTTCTCATCGCTTTAAAAAGAAAAGTATACAGATGCAACGAAATTTTTAAAAATATCACGCCACAATTTAAAGATCTAATTTTGAAGAACTGTTTCCATTATGAAAAAATCTATCTTCAATAATAGAGTTTTAGGAAAAGTCCACAATTTTTTAAACTTAAGTAATTTTCGAAAATTGCGATACATTTATTGAGAAGTGGTGGTGATGGTGGTCGCGGCGGCGGCCAAACTGTGGTCTGACATCTATGATCTTGATGTACCGCAGGAATCTTTCGGGATTATGGGCCATCTCTCTGTCACCCAACATTTTTTAAAACTTTGTTACGTCGCGCCTTCAATTAGCGCAACGCGTCTCCAAGCACTGGGGGCGTCGAGCGCTTGGCGCTTTCGGAGTAATCCTTCATTAACAGTATGCCATGTCCGTCCCGTCCCGTTGCAGTCAGTTGTCAAGAGGACCGCCAAGTAGCATCTCCGCGTACGCGCCTCTTACTACGCGCCCCTGCGTCACTATTCAGCGGCCAGAATTGGGAAGGAATTCGGATTGGGGTAGAGGTTTAGGATACTTCACAGGAGTTGGACTAGCCCCTGCGTACCATGCAAACTCGTTTTGTCGTAAGAAACAAATTTCTCATGTGGTTCTACGGAGATTCTACGGGAATCGAACCCAGAACCTCAGCGGTGAAAGGCAAGCGACTTCGCCACTGAACCACGAGAGCACGATAACATTGATGTTGGTATTGGGACGATTTGTTTAATTGCTTGATTGATGGTTCCAGGTATGTTAACTGTTTTGCTCATCCCATTAGATATATTGCGAGAGGTATAAGTATTCCTTCCCCTCTGGCTGGTAAGGTCCGACGCTGACCTACACGTTCGCTTCAGGAATTTCCACCTCCTGTTACCTTCTCTAAGGGTCACCACTCGAGCCGAGGCAGCTCTGAGCTCTCGACTCGCCTCCCGATATGGGTGGCATTGTCGTGGATGTAACTGCGTGTGTAAGGGGGAGAGGAAGGGGGAATCCGACCGATGAAGGGACGTTCGTGCGCGGTCCGTGCTCTGGTTCTTTGGATATTGCTGTGGTATTCGCCTGGTACTGATTGGGTAAACCATAGAAAACCACCGGGAGATGTGGCTCAGGTATCAACTGATGTCGTTGCAGTGTCTCTGCGAGATCCTAGCTTCGAGTCCAAATTATAGCAGGGTTTTTGACACTAGCTAGGTGGAGTTCAGACGCGCGCTGTCTGGAGGAGAATTCTGGCCCCCGTCTACTTTGGTCGGCTGTTTCCCGTGGCTTCTGCGATCAACAGCAGGCGAACGCCTGAGAAGACCCCGGACCGCCCTCACCTCTTTCTTACACTTTCACACATCCTGGAAACTGGTCGGCAGCTTAGAGCTTGTCCAGGCTGGGGCGCTGGTAATGAGTTTATTTATCTGGGCTGGGTGAGGGTCGGAGGCACCCTTGCGTCGCTCCTTATCCTCCTCCCTCCACCTTGACATCGCTTTTAGGATTCATCTATTTTGTGTTTCTAAGGAACCAATTTGGATATTTTGTTGGTATACCTCACTGAATAGATGGCGGCACCATGCGCCTCGATAGTATACTTTACAATTTTCATTACTATGCGATTCTACACAAACTACACCAAGTTTGTTAATAATGTGTTCAAGTTACTGAAAGTAAGCGATTGTTCTATATACAAGACTAAAAAATTAAAGTTAGGTGTGATATAAAATGTATTTGCAAAGCTAGCCGGAAGGCACATTTACATTTAATACAGAGAGCTGCAAGACCGGGCTTTAGGAGCATTTACATTTGATATTCCTATCCTAGTATTTACAATTATTCTATATGTTACATAACATGAGAATTTAAAAACAAATTTATTAAGTACTCGTAATAGAGGATTCCTATCATTAACTACCATTTGAGTTCTGCCTAATCGGGCATACTCCCAGTTCGGGATTGTTTTGGCCTCTCAAGGAAACTATGTGCGGAAAGGCCAATGTCAGGTTCCGAGTCTGGATCTGGGGCTCCTCTAGGTAAGGCTACGGCCGCCGCGACGGGCCCCAGAGGTGGGCGCTGATCCTCCGACGGGGGGACTGGACAAAGCCTGCAAGGACTTGGCCTGCTTGATTGCAAAGCAGAAACGCAGGGACAATTAAAAGGGTTTGGCGGCACCCGCCAGTTTCAGATGGCGGTACATCGCCGCCTCAGACCGAGCCCATACCACTCTGCCCGACTCGACTGCGCTCCGTTTTGCAGCCCCCCCCCCCCCGCCCCGACTTTTGCCAATAGAGAGTAAGTACGGAAAGTGAAAATGCGGTACGGAAAGTAAGTTCGGTTGATTGGAAAGTGCCTAACTTGGGGCTGAGCAGGGAGGATGCGGAAACTCATGCGGTCATCGATAGGGGGAACAGCTAACAAATGAATGTGTTGACACAGCCTTGCCATGTCTGTTGACCAGAATCAAGGCAGCGCCCGCCAGCTTCAGATGACGGAGTGGCGCGGCCTCCGGGCGATCCGACTCGTCCACTCACCTGTTGAGCCCTCCTGTTGCCCCCCCTCCCCGCGCCCATTCGGCAGGAATCTAGCTAGATGGGGAAGTCAATGTTATGGGAGCAAAGCGGCCAATCCCACCTCTTCGCCGGTGCGCGGGGAGAGACTCCCTTGGGCCTTGCCAATTTACGTCCGTCTTGAAGGTGGGAAATACCTGATTGAGGAAAGATAAAGCACACCCCCGCTAGCTGGTAGGTCGGTGTCGGTTCTCGCCAGCCAGCGGGCGAAACCATCGCCTCCTCCAGAGGAAAAACATGCACTACTCTAAGTGGATTAATGGCCTTAGCAGTTGACGCGCCTGGAATCACTAATCAATCAATCAATCAATCATAGAAAACTACTGATTAGAGCAGCCGGCTAAATATGAAAATCTGCAGATAGCGGCTGAATTCGACCTCGCTATTTAGCTACTATCGAAAATACACCAAATTAATTTGGGTGTGCAAATGCTAATGTGCAAATAGGTATGTGTCGCTACTGTTTGTTCTGATTTTATCCCCAATAAGATATTTTTGTTTCTTTATTTTCGGTTTCATTACCTGGATAATGAACCACTTTCCAATACACTGCTACATGTTACTAAAAACATGTATATCTGCTTTTATCTTTCCTGGTGTAGTCTGAAATGGATGAACAGTATAAGTTGACTCTTTATTCCCACAAGATAGGACTTAAAGAGCAAACATATTTGGACTTCATACGCAAAGATTGTGTGAATTGCTGTTCATCTGTACTATTATTGGACAAGTAATACTTTAGTAGTTAGTAATTTCAGACATAGACCCTGTAATAAGTAATCCTTTGACGCCAATTAATGTAAATTATCCTAAATTACCAAATTCAACCTTTTTCATTCGTAAGTTCTGTGATTTAGGAGTAGGAATTCCCCATAATATAGAGTTGAAAGTATCTCCAACTGTACAATAACGTCTGTCAAAATTTGAATACACTTTCTTGTGTTCTAGTGAAGTGTAATTCACTCTCCCAAATTTTTCAAATTTTTTTATTATTTAGATAAAACACAATTTTTAGTATGAAATCAGACGCACTTTCAAAGCATATCTTAAATTTTCAAACTTAGACCCGTCAGTTTTAAACTTCTACAGTTTTAAACTACACAGCAAAGGAAACCACAAACACAAAACAAAGAAAACTTTTTTAGCTATGTTTAACAGGACAAAGCAACACATGAGGAAATGCTAGTGATAAACTTTCTATTCCTGGTCAAAACAATTCTATTATATGCAATGAAATCCATACTTAGCATTGAAAGGATAAGTTTTAAAGTGATGGTTGATTAAATATTAATAAAGTAAATGTTTTTAAAATAAATTAAATATCAATTTCAATGTAATGTGATTTATTGATGAAAACATCAACAAAAATCACAATTTCTTATGTTAACATAATTGATCAAAATTCTTGATGAACAATATTCAGTTGAGCCCATTACAATTCATTTGATTTTTCACACTTTTGCACCATTACACATCACTTCATTTAAAAAAATGATTGTAATGTGTCATAAACATTGTGTTCATACATTTCATTCTAAATGCACACATATACACATACATGCATGTTCAAACATTTATAACACTCCTGAACTAATCTACTACATCTTTCTTTGTTTGAAGTTACAATCAAGCATAAAATATCTTTTCATATAAATATTAGATTCTTCATAAT